GAAAATATCATTATTGATGTTATCAAAATCTTCCTCCATGGAATATACACCATGATATTTTTCAAAAGGGCCATCACTGTCCTGACCGAATTGTCCGTTAAGTGCTATTGGGATTAGGACGTTGGCACTCGTGCCCACCCATTCGGTCGGGATAATAGGATACGCATTCACATTCCCTTGGACTTCCCCTGGCCGGCCGGCTTCACCAGCGGCAATAGCAGTAGCGTTTGGAATGTTCGGAATTGAGCTGATTGACTCCGTCGATCTGGCACTCCATGACGAAAACGCACTTCGTCTAGGTCTTGATGTTACGCCATCTCGCCCGTACGGGCCCGGGGTTTGCTCACGATCACCAGTCGGAGCTCCCGCGGGAGATACGTCTACCGACATTTCGGTTATCCCTTCGGTACTTCTTCCCCTCACTACCCGAGTGGCGATGTATGAAGGAGGGATTCGGTCCTGAACTGGACCGTCTCTGTCTGCGTCGTGTCCATCACGTTGCACAACGCGCCTACCGGCGCTTCTCGAGATATTGGACACGATATCAGTCTTATCATAGCTCCTTCCCGCAGCGACTGAGTCGCGGGGCACATTTGAAGGATCTTCTTTTGTATGAGATGGCCCCGCGTCGACTTAGTCGCGCGTTTCGGCTGATAACCAGTCTTTCCTCTGAGAATCGGGGTAAGATGACAAAGGAATTAAGATCTCAGGTTCACTCTGCTCAGGGAGAGAGGGGACGGGATGAGACATTGATAAGACAAGTATCCGCTAAGCAAGACTACTCTATTAGGAATGCGAAAGGGAAGAGGTCGGCCGGGGACGGACGACGACGAGCCGCCCGCACGCCCCAGCGCACTCCTTTTTTCTCCTGCAAGCCAAGGTTGGCTTGCTCGAGCAGTCATACAGCTGCGGAACGCATCTGTCAGTTCCAGCGGACAGTGCGATGCATGCAAACTAAGTTATGTCTCAAGTGATTATGAGGCGGAGAGGAGCTTATTTACTGTATCAATAGTAGTAGTAGTAGTAGTAGTAGTAGTAGTAGTCGTAGTCGTAGTAGTAGTTGTAGTAGTAGTAGTAGTAGGAGTAGTAGGAGTAGTAGGAGTAGTAGGAGTAGTAGGAGTAGTAGTAGTAGTAGTAGTAGTAGTAGTGGTAGTAGTAGTAGTAGTGGTGTGTGTAGTAGTGGTAGTAGTTGTAGTTGAAGTAGTAGTAGTAGTAGTAGTAGTAGGAGTAGTAGGAGTAGTAGTGGTAATCGTAGTGATAGTAGTAGTAGTAGTAGTAGCAGTAGTAGTAGAGGTTGTAGTAGTAGTAGTAGTAGTGGTAGTAGTAGTAGTAGTAGTAGTAGAAGTAGTAGTAGTGGTAGTACTACTAGTAGGAATAATAGTAGTAGTAGTAGTCGTAGAGGTAGAAGTAGTAGAAGATGTAGTAGTAGTAGTCGTCGTGGGAATGGTAAGAGTCGTAGTAGTCGTAGTCGTAGTCGTAGCCGTAGTCGTAGTAGTAGTAGTAGTCGTCGTCGTCGTAGTAGTAGTAGTAGTAGTCGTCGTAGTAGTGGTACTAGTAGTTGTTGTGGTAGCAGTACTAATTGCAGTCGCGAAAATACAAATACTGGACGGTGCTGTTGCTGTTGTTATTGCAGGGGAGGGAGGAAGGAGGAGGGAGGGAGGACAAGAAAGGGGAGAGAAGGGATCACATTACCTGTCCAACAACCTATAAACCCCGAAAAGTTTTCAAATCCTCGTGTGGGGTGGTCATGTAGGGCAAATTATTGCGATAGTAAGCCGTGGAACTATATTTTTTTGAAAGTTCACACCTTGGGGGAAATGAGAAAAGTAGTCGCAGTAGTAGTAGTAGTAGTAGTAGTAGTAGTAGTAGTAATAGTAGTAGTACCAGTAGAAGTAGTAGAAGTAGTAGTAGTGGTAGTCGTCGTAGTAGTAATAATAGTAGTAATGGTGGTGGTAACTGATGATCATGTGAATAATAATGATGCCGCCGTACTGGTCGTACTATTAGTCGTAGTAGTGGTACTCGTAGTCGTAGTAGTAGTAGTAGTAGTAGTAGTAGTAGTAGTAGTAGTAGTAGTAATAGCGTAGTAGTAGTAGTAGTAGTAGTAGTAGTAGTAGTAGTAGTAGTAGTAGTAGTAGTAGTAGTAGTAGTAGTAGTAGTAGTAGTAGTAGTAGTAGTAGTAGTAGTAGTAGTAGTAGTAGTAGTAGTAGTAGTAGAAGTAGTAGTAGTAGTAGTAGTAGTAGTAGTAGTAGTAGTGGTAGTGGTAGTAGTAGTAGTAGTAGTAGTAGTAGTAGTAGTAGTAGTAGTAGTAGTAGTAGTGGTACTGGTAGCAATGGTATTATTAGTGGTAGTAGTGGTAATAGTGGGTGTTGTTGATGGTGAAAATGCTGATGCTGATGATGAAGTTGCGGTACGAAGATCATCTCTACGATTCGTACGTTCCCCGGTGATAAAAGGAATTCGGCCCCGCCGCTCCCCACCGCGGACCAACGCTGATTTGACACAACCAACACCCAGGTCTCAAGATGGGAATGCTGTATTACCAGGGGGCATGCGGCTATGAAGGATTAGGGAAACCAGATAAGACGTACGCGCCAAGCCATATACATGAGTATGCACTCCAATTCGCGAGGCAGCACTCATGTCACGAACGATCGTGTAGCGCGCTCTCTAGAAACCCATGTATGTGACCTCGCGTACGCACGCGTAGGTGGGTGCTCCGCTCCTGACGATGGAGGGAGGAAAGAGGGGGAATGGAAGAGGATGAAGGAGAACGAAGAAGGGGGGACGGAGGAGGAAAGGATAGAGGAGGAGAAGGAGGACGGAGGAGAATGGGAGAAGGAAGGATAACAAAGGAGAAAAAACGATGCCCACGTGGTCCCGTGAAGGCAGCATCCGGGGCTTCGGTCGCGGCTTCCTTTAGCAAGGTGCCACGGCCCAGGAAGGGCTCGGAAGGAGCGAAGGAGGGAAGGAGAAAGAGGAGGGAACGAGGAAGGGAGGGACGGAAAAGGAGGGAGGGAGGGGGAGGGGGGGAGGCGGGGAGGAGGGAGGGAGGAAGGCAAGGGAGGAGGGAGAGGGGAGGAGGACAAGCTAGGTGCGCTCGCGTCATATCTGACGTCCTACCACTCCCTCCCATCCCGTACCATGGCCTAGATCTCTCTCCTCGTACAATCGGGTGTCGAGCAAAGCAATGATCCCGCGAGGTTGCGCGATGCATCGTCGAGCACGGCCTAGCAGGGCGTAGAAGAGCACGGCAGAGCGTTGTATGTCATAGCATGGCGTGGCGTTGCGTTGTGAAGAACTGCAACACACAACGGAACACCACATATCATTGCATTGCATTGCGTGCCGTGGCATGGCGCTGGAAAGGATGACGCCAGCGCTGCAGCGGGAGCACGATTCAGAAGCGCGGAAATGGGGCCACCGCTGCAACGTGAGCGTGATTCAGAACGAGCGGAAGCGCGGAAATGAGGCCAGCGCTTCAGCGGGACCGCGATTCGGAACGATCGGAAACGCGGAAGGAAGGGAGGGAGAAGGAGGCAGGGAGGGGGAGAGAGGGAGGAGGCGGGAGGAGGGACGGAGGGAAGCAAGGGAGGAGGGAGAGGGGAGGAGGACAAGCTAGGTGCGCTCGCGTCATATCTGACGTCCTACCCTCCCTCCCATCCCGTACCATGGCGTAGATCTCCTCTCTACTCGCACAGTCGGATGTCGAGCAAGGCAGTGATCCCGCGAGGTTGCGCGATGCATCGTAGAGCACGGCCTAGCAGGGCGTAGAAGAGCACGGCAGAGCGTTGTATGTCATAGCATGGCGCGGCGTTGCGTAATGAAGAATTGCAACACACAACGGGACACCACATATCATTGCATTGCATTGCGTGCCGTGGCATGGCGCTGGAAATGATGACGCCAGCGCGGCAGCGGGAGCACGATTCCGAACGAACGGAAGCGCGGAAATGAGGCCACCGCTGCAACGTGAGCGCGATTCAGAACGAGCGGAAGCACGGAAATGAGGCCAGCGCTGCAGCGGGACCGCGATTCGGAACGAGCGGAAGCGCGGAAGGAAGGGAGGGAGAAGGAGGCAGGGAGGGGGAGAGAGGGAGGAGGCGGGAGGAGGGACGGAGGGAAGCAAGGGAGGAGGGAGAGGGGAGGAGGACAAGCTAGGTGCGCTCGCGTCATATCTGACGTCCTACCCCTCCCTCCCATCCCGTATAATGGCGTAGATCTCCTCTCTACTCGCACAGTCGGATATCGAGCAAGGCAGTGATCCCGCGAGGTTGCGCGATGCATCGTAGAGCACGGCCTAGCAGGGCGTAGAAGAGCACGGCAAAGCGTAGTATGTCATCGAATGGCGTGGCGTTGCGTAATGAAGAATTGCAGCACACAACGGAACACCACATAACATGGCATTGCGTGCCGGGGCATCGCGCTGAAAATAGTGACGCCAGCGCGGCAGCGGGAGCACGATTCAGAACGAGCGGAAGCGCGGAAATGAGGCCAGCGCTGCAGCGGGAGCGCGATTCAGAACGAGCGGAAGCGCGGAAATGAGGCAAGCGCTGCAGCGGGACCGCGATTCGGAACGAGCGGAACCGCGGAAGTGAGGCCAAGGCTGCAGCGGGAGCACGATTCGGAACGAGTGGAAGCCCGAAAATGAGGCTAGCGCTTCAGCGGGAGCAACATTTTCAAAAAACCCAGCGAACACCCAACTCCCGGGAAACCTTTGTAAAAAACAACTCGCGGAGGGGGGCCGAACATCTTCTGGACGTCATCAGGGGAGAGAGTAGTATTCATGTTGTGTAATTGTAGAAGGAGGAGGGGGACAAAGGAGGAAGGCGGTGAGGAGGGGAAGGGAGGGAGGGAGAGAGAGGGAGGGAGGGATCGAGGACCGACAAGGAGGGAGAAAAAGCAGGGAGGGATGAGGGAGGGAGGAGGGAGGGAGGGACGGAGGGAGGAGGCAGGCAGGCAGGGAGGAGATGGGTGTGGATGCAGCGAGGACGTCGCGCCTGCGACGCGGCGCTCGACGGCTCCGACTCCCGCAGCCTCCGCGCGGTGTGGGGGGGGGGGCGGGCCCCGGGCCCCGGACAGCCGGACGCGCCCGGCCGATGACCGGGGGAGAGGCCCAGGGATCGTTCTTTGAACCCTGATCGGGGGCATCGTTAGGGGGGGGGAAAACATTCCTCCTCCTCCTCCTCCCTCCTCCTCCCTCCTCCTTCAGCTCCTGCTCCTGTCCTCCTGCCTCCTCCTCCTGCTCCTCCTCACGCCACCTCCTCCTCCTCCTCCTCCTCCTCCTCCTCCTCCTCCTCCTCCTCCTCCTCCTCCTCACGCCACCACCTCCTCCTCCTGCTGCCCCTCCTCCTGCGCCTCCCTCCTCTTCCGGCCTCCTCCTCGCCCTCGTCCCCGTCCCCCTCCTCCCACCACGACGCGCTCTCAGCGCAGAGAAGGTGTCCAGAGAGCACGGGCAGCGCCTTCCAAGCACGAAGCCCGTGCACCACAACGGGGCGATCTCGGCGGGACACGTTCCAAAAACGAAGGATTGCAAAAAAAACGAAGGATTGCAAAAAAAACGAAGGGTTGATTTGCAATCCTCCGAAGGCTTTTTGCAATGACAAAGAGCACAGGCAGCGCTTTCGAGGCACGGAGCCCACGCGTCACGACGGGGCGATCTCGGCGGGAAGCGCTCCAATGACAATCTCTCCGCGGCCCGCCTCCAGGGCCCCCCTCGGCCTGCGCCCCCGGGCCGCGCGCGGGGAGCGCCAGGGGGCGAGGCCCGCGGGAGGGCCCGAGAGGGGGGGGACCGCGCCCCCCGCGGGGGCCACGGCGTGGCCCTCGAAGAGCAGCACGACAGCACAGGGCAGTGTTTAATACATGGGACGTTAAAAAACATAAGATTTTAATGTAGGTTTTTTGATACATGATTCATGGATTGATAAATGCATGCGTGAACTCATCGTTGTTTTGTATACTACGTCCCTGCATTTTGAATACATGATCCGCACGCGGAGCATGTATTAAAAAACGGCACTGCAAGGGTGGGCGATAGTAAGGATGCGGGTTAAGGATGCAGGGGCCTTGGATGCCCATTTCGGAACGTTTCGAGCGGGGCGCGGCCAACGAAAGTGTCCAAGGATGGACCCAGGAAGCAAGGATGCAAGGGTACCCTTGGGAGGGATGCCTATCCTTACTGTGCGGGTCGACTGTACGCATTACCTTGATGCGTTTCCTGAAAAGGACGCCAGCAAAAGGGACTTCTGAGACCGCGGCGTTGCGCCGCAGACACCGGGTTCGAGCGAGTTCGTCGTGCGGCGAACATGCGGGCCAAGCCGAGCGCACTCGAGACATCGGCATCGCCCGTCTCAAAAGTAAAGGGGCCCTGGGACACACTAATAAATACACACAAATAAAAATATTCCCCATATTTTTTCAGATCTTCTGGGTTTTCGTATTCCCCCCCACTTCCCATATTTTCCCATATTTTCTGGGAATCGACGATTGATTGTGTCTGTGTGTTTTTCCCCTCCTCAAAAAGTCCCTTTCCCTGGGGCCCCCTTTGCAACCACACGACAGCTGTGGGAAGCACGAAGCACGCAGCACGCCCGCACATGGGCACCGTCCGGGTATGCTGCGGGTGCGGCGCGCCAGGGCGGCGGCGCCGGTGCGCGGGGAGAGAATGAGGCCCGAGCAGAACTCCGGCACGATCTCGTCCCAAAGCTCCGTTGTGGCAGATTGTCATACAGTCGTGGCGTTGACCCAAGGAACCCTAAACAGGGAACGAGGCCCCTTTTTAAACATAAGGAAAGCCTGAGGCAAGCTGTGAAACAATTAAGGAACACGGAGCCCCTCCCCAACGAAAAAGGTTCCTTCTTCAGCGACCCGACTGTATCCGCGCAGCTTGTTCATATTTGGTGCGACGTAAACTGTGAGCCGATACGCATGAACCATGGGAGGTCCGCGCAGACTTCTCGAGTCGGGCCTGGGGCACCCCCTGGCCGGCGCCTCTGGTGCTGCCGTCGTCGTCGCGCCCCATACGCCAGTGAGGGGGGTCCAGCGCAGATCAAGCAAAAATTCGCGCGGGCCTCCGAAAGTGCATGCTTGATGCAGCCTGTAAGGAACAAGGAAAGGCGACACCAACACCACCAGGGCGAGGAGTTGCGAGGAGCAAAGGGCGGTCTCCCTGGTGGTGTGGTCCCCCCCTCTCGCTCGAGACATCCCTAGCCTCCAGCTAGGGGAGGCATCGTGGACCTCCTCGCTGAAAGTGTCCCCCCTGGTGGTGTTGGTGTCGCATCTCCTCCCTCCGATCTGTGTCTTATTGTAGCCCGATCCCAAAAGCTCCGACTATAGTCGGGGATCTCTTGACCCGGGTCATCCAGACCCGGATCTCAGTCCTTGCAAAATCCTGCAAAATCCTGCAAGATCCTGCACCTAAACCGGGGTCAACGCGAAGGATCCTGCAAGACCCTGCAGGAACCCAAGCCCGGGTCAATGCGACCCTGGCCCTGCAGGATCCTGCAGGATCGGGGCGCTCTGGCTGACCCCCGTTTGCATTGACCCCCGTCTCAAGGCTCGCGATACGGGAGGACGGGCAATCCCCCGGGGGCACGCACAAGGGGGTGGAGGGAGGGGGGAAGGCTTCTTAAAAGGAGGCTGGTTCTTAGAAGGCGCCGACCTTACATCTATAGACGAGGCCCGCGCCTTCTAAGAAGCAAGGGTGCTTCTAAGAAACCCTCCCCCCTCCCCCCACCCCCCTCTGCGCGTGGCAGATATGGGGGATCTTCTGACCCGGGTCAGTCAAGACCCGGATCAGTCAGGCCTTGCAGAATCCTGCAAGATCCTGCAAGATCCTGCACCCAAGCACGGGTCGATGCGAAGGATCCTGCAATATCCTGCAGGATCCTGCACCCAAACCCGGGTCGATGCGACCCTGGCCCTGCAGGATCCTGCAAGATCGGGGCGCTCTGGCTGACCCCCGTTTGCATTGGTGAGCGTTTGTCAATTCGGCGTTTCGACATTGGGCGGACTGGGGGGGAAGGGGGGGGGGTCTGGCTCTGGACCTCTGCCTATTGCGACTGTTTGCCTATTGGGACTCCGCCCGCTCGAAACAGGCGCCAAAAAAACCAAGATCTACTCCATGGGGGGGGAGGGGGAGGGGTGCAAGGGCCCGCGCCGATCGGCAAAACAATGAATAACAAAAACGACCACTGCGTGTTTTGTAGCACCGCCCAGGCGGCCGTCTGAGCTCCATCTGGTGGGCCTCCCGGCGCTCGTGGATCTCCTTCTCCTGGCACAGCGAGGGCTGTCTCGCCGCCCTCCACTTCCTCGACATGTGATTCATCCTCGTCCTCGTCCTCCTCCTCCTCCTCCTCCTCCTCCTCCTCCTCCTCCTCCCCCTCCTCCTCCTCCTCCCTCCCCCTCCTCCCCCTCCATCTCCTCCTCCCCCGCCTCCTCCCTCCTCTCCTCCTCCTCTCCTCCTCCTCCTCCTCCTCCTCCTCCTCCTCCCTCCTCCTCCTCCTCCTCCTCCTCCCCTCCTCCCCTCCTCCTCCTCCCTCCCTCCCTCCCTCCCTCCCTCCCCCCTCCTCCTGCTCCTCCTGCTCCTCCTCCTCCTCCTCCTCCCTCCTCCTCCTCCTGCTCCTCCTCCTCCTCCCCTCCTCCTCCTCCTCCTCCTCCTCCTCCTCCTCCTCCTCCTCCCCCGCCTCCTCCCTCCTCCCCCTCCTCCTCCTCCTCCCTCCTCCTCCTCCTCCTCCTCCCTCCTCCTCCTCCTCCTCCACCTCCTCCTCCCTCCCTCCCTCCCTCCCTCCCTCCCTCCCTCCCTCCCTCCCTCCCTCCCTGCTCCTGCTCCTCCTGCTCCTCCTCCTCCTCCCTCCTCCTCCTCCTCCTCCTCCTCCTCCTCCTCCTCCTCCTCCTCCTCCTCCTCCTCCTCCCCCTCCTCCTCCTCCCTCCTCCTTCCCTCCTCCTCCTCCTCCTCCTCCTCCTCCTCCTCCTCCTCCTCCTCCTGCTCCTCCTCCTCCCCCTCCCCAGGAAGGCCAAAAAGGATGGGAGGGGGCGGGGCGGCGCAGGATCAGTCGGCATCGGATCGGGAAGCCGGATCGGCTCGGCATGCACGCCGGAGCGGGCCGCGTCGGCAAGGAGTCGAGGTCGAATCGCCCCTGCCGCGCCACGATGCACGGCGACGCCGTGCGAGCATCGGGTCGCACCGCATCGTCAGAATGAATCCTCTCGGACGTTCAGGACCGAGATACACCCATCGGGGCGGAGGGAGCGTGAGGGGTGGGGGACGGGGAAGCGGTGGGGGAAGGGGGGGTGGAGGGGGGGAAGGAGGGGAGGGGTAGCAACGGAAGGAATCCTAACCCTTTGGGAGGGGACCTAAGTTAGGAGGGCCAAAAGCAGCAGGGATAGGGGGCTTTCGTTGTTCTGCAGATGTACCAGGCCAAACCACGCAGATGTACGATCCCTAATGCGGGGACCTGCGTGAGGCCACGTCTTCATCGTGTCATTAAGGCGTGGGCACGGACCAGAGGAACTGCTCTCCCTCTCTCTCTCTCTGCTCGGGCAGTGTCGCTGCGATCCGGACAGAGGACACCAGGGGATGCATCAGCCGAGCATGGCCGCGACGACTGCTCGAAGGGAGAAACACATCAACAAAAAAAGGCGCATTGCCACCTCCCCTCAGGCTCGCCCGCCCGCCAAGCCCGCCAGCAGGCCGCCACCGCCCCCCCGGAGCTCCACCGAAGGCCCCAGTGGCTGCTCTCGCATGCGGTTCCCCCACCCAGGGCAGCGCTTCGTGGCCCCATAGGGAGCTCCACCGAAGGCCCCAGTGGCTGCTCTCGCATGCGGTTCCCCCACCCAGGGCAACGTTTCGTGGCCCCATAGGGAGCTCCACCGGAGGCACCAGTGGCTGCTCTCGCATGCGGTTCTCCCACCCAGGGCAGCGCTTCGTGGCCCCATAGGGAGCTCCACCGAAGGTCCCAGTGGCTGCTCTCGTATGCGGTTCCCCAGGGAGGAGGAGGAGGAGGAGGAGGAGGAGGAGGAGGAGGGAGGGAGGGAGGAGAAGGAGGAGAGGAGGAGGAGAGGAGGAGGAGGAGGAGGAGGAGGAGGAGGAGGAGGGAGGAGAGGAGGAGGAGGCGGAGGAGGAAGAGGAGGATGTGGAGGGGGGAGGGGGGAGAAGGAGGATGTTTTTGTTTTTTGGTCACCTTGGACCTCACCTCCACCCCTCTCAGCCCTTCGCACGAGCCTCCTGGGCGCTACACGGGCACGGAGGGCATCCAGGCCTGAAAGGGGCGACGCACACGCTGGCGTCTGCTGGGGTCGGGACGCTACGACATGCGCTCGCGCCTCGACCCTCGTGAGCGGAGCCTCGAGCTCCGCGCAAGAAACGGGTACATCGCGCTTCGGGTGCAGGCCTCTCCTGAGCCTTCGAAGCGCAGTGGTGCCTGCACTGCTCCTGTCGCTGTCTCTTAGGGGCCTGAGACAACGTGACAAGAGCATGTGCAGGCGGTGCTGGGCGTAGTAGCCACAGCTCATGCAGAAAAACAACGGACTTGGTTCGTCCCCGACTTGCGTGCTAGCCAGAACGTGGCCATGTTCTGGCGAGATGGTCAGTAGCTCTTCGACCATCCTAGGGAAGCCCTCGCAGCCCACCGTGGGTCTGTCTTCCAGGGCTCCTGCATAAAACCTGAGGCAACTCGAACACCGATGGCCCCACAGCCAGGTGTCCCAAGTGTGCCAACCCTCGGCACGCTTAAACACTTTCTGCTTCTTGGCCCTTCGAGGAGGCCGAGTGTGGGTGACCCTGGGAAAAAGCGGCAGAACGTCCGCCAAAATCCGCGCCACCGTTTCAATTCTCTCGATCGAGCTCTTCATATCGTCCCACTCGTTTTGGCTAGCTTGCGGGTGCAACAAAATCGCTTGCTTGGCTTCATGATCCGCACGCCTGTTGGCACGACCTATGGACCGCTGAGGCTCTTCTAGCATATCTATCGTGGCAGAGTCCCTGTGCGCTGGGGTCCAGACAGCTGGGGCATACGCATCTCGTCCCATGTGCTGCAGAGCTCCGCGCCTGAGTCCAGCATACTTGTGTTTATGACTCAACTGAGAAACCTTGCTGGCATTGTGAAGCTTGACGGCATTCATACAATCACTGTAGCAGGCTTGCCCATGCTTGGGCACGAAAATCGGGAGCAAGGCCAGCTGAAGTTGCTCTGCTGCCTGGCTCGTCTGAGGAAGGCTCGGCCATACGGGGCATTTTGCAATTGCTACCTGCTCTCCGTCCCTTCCCATGAACACCCATGAAAACGCTGCTCGTGATAGATCTCGAATCTGGTGCGGGAAACACGACCCGTCCCCCGCCACATTCAAATCAGTAGTGTCGAAGTCCGCACAATCCATTCGCTGACCCTCGGCGCTGTACAAGTAAGGCTCGTGCTGGTCGGACAAAGGCGGCATATCTTTGACAGGGTTGACAAACTTTAGACCAGCGTAGAAGTTGTGCCCCCCTTCCCTCGCCCTCTGAAAGAAGCTGTCCTTCACCCCCGTACTAGTCCTAGCCGCCGAAACCTCGGGGCTGGCACAAAAGTAAATCCTGCGGGCAACAGAATCTGGCCCCCCGCACAGCGGGCAGCAACCTGTCGAATGATAACCAGCCTGCCGCGCCCGATCCTCGGTCCAGAGTCCGTCGCAAAAGACCGTTTTGACCAAATACTTGCCTTGGGCATTCAGTCCTATGCCTCGGAGTCTAGGCTGAGTGATACGTCGCAGCGGCTCGACGCAGACACGATCTCCTACAGGCCATCCGAGCTTCTGTCCCAGGACCCGCTCGTGGCGTCGTCGCACCCCTTCTTTCAAGAGCGCGGAGATCATGGCAGGGGAGTTGTAAAGCAGACTCAACTCGACCCCCCATATCGTCGACCCACATCAAAAACGAAGCCGATTTCCACCCGATGCGAAAAAGCGACAACATCATCCGACTGATAGGACCCCTCGTCTTCCCCCATTTCCACCCCTCAATTCCTTCCTGGGAGATGGAGTCCCACATGCTGCGAAGCTGGGGCAGCGTGAAACTGGCCGTGCACGGCGCCGTCGTGGTGCTCCACACAGCGGCTGCCCAAGCGAGCGCAGGAGCGACCATGCTACTCCACATCGGATCGCCTAACAGAGCTGCCTTGGCAGTGAGTGAAACCCCTCCATGACACGGCGCCTGATAGGAAAGCATCACCCCTCGCGCACGCTTAAGTTCAGCGTCAGATATGCCAGTCACCGTATCTCCAAAACTGACCGCGGGCTTAACGCCAGAGGTATAAATCTTACCGATTCTATATTTGTCCCTCGGCAGAGCTTTCCTATACCTCTGGAGCCTTCGGTGTCTGCGAATCATGCCCGCAACTCGGGCCTTGCGTTTATCAAGAGCTTGTTTGGTGCTGCGTTTCACCCCAGGAGCTAAATCGACCCCGAGCGAGACCACGTGGGTCCCGACCGTCCCAGCCAGCGCTCCGAGCCTGCGTCCAACTCGCAGCGACAAGTCGGGGGTGGAGCCAAAGGTCATGAGTTTATCGGGGGCCAAACCAACACCTAAATCTCCCTTAAAGACACGTTCCAGGTCCTCAGCTGCCTGGCCGAGAACTTGGACCACATGGTCCGCCGCGCCGTACGCGCTGACGGCGTCGTCGTCGACGTACGAAACAAGGTCAACAGCAGGATTCCTGGCAACGAAACCGTCGAACGGGACCATAGCATAAACTTTAACGTTGATATCATTCAGGCAGGATCCTGCTGGCAACCCACACTTCGCGTACATCGGAGAGAGGCTGTGGTCCGAGCCAAGCCGCAAAACCCGAGGCCCGCGCCAAAAATTGTAGGTCACCTTGACCACGATAGGGTCAAGGCCCGCCTGCAGGGAGCGATCCCTAAGCGTGGTGAGCCTGAACGATTCATAATACTTGGTGCCATCCCAAGAAAAACCTCCCGTGACACCCCCTTCGGCCACTTGGGCCTCCGCTTTGACCGCCTGCTTCCATATTTCAGCCTCCGCCGGCTTCCCCGCCCCAAACGCCCAATACTTGCGCGGGTGCGCGTCGCAATACGGGGGCAGCTGCGGTCGCCTGAGCTTTTCCCACAGGCGAACAGGAGAGGCGCAGAGCAGGACAGGACGCAAACCCCCTTTTGGCTTCTCGAGGAGGGGGAACAGCATCCAATACAGGGCCTTCGGGTAGACCCCGATCTTTTCAACAGTTTGAAACAGGCAACTGAGCA